GCTGTGAGCCTGCCCAAACCGTAAGATCAATGTTTGAAGTGATGTTCTCTTCACATAGGCTGGTGGGCACCATATTCTGTTCTCTTCACACAGGCTGGAGGGCCTTCTCCATTATGGACCTTTGGAACTCATTCCCTATGAAGATACCTATGACTTCATCACTTTTAAATACTTAATTTCTCCTAGCATTCTCAAGAGTGTCATCTGAATTGTTTTCTTTGCTGCTTGTTGATTTCCATTTTCTTGTGTCCTTTATTCCTCCAGGCCATTTTTGCATACCCAAGACATGTACTTTGTATTTGTTCAGTTGTTGTCCAGCGGCTCTGCTTGGTTTGCCATAATCATCATAGTTGTCACTTGTTTATTTCTTGATGTTGTGAAAAAAGTGTTGTACAGACACCTGCAGCCCACAAGTACAGAAAAAGCCCAGGTAACTTTTGCTTACAAGTGGTTTGATTAACATTTACGTTATTGGGAAGATTAAATTTTTGAGCCTTTCTCTGGATCTTTGTTGATATTTTGCCTGCAGTTCTTAATGTACTGTGATTCTGTGGTGAGTAATTTAAAAAAAATTTTTAAAAAACTTTTAAAAAACATTTACTTTAATTTTTTTGTTTTGTTTGGTTTTCCTTTTGGTCACATTGCAATGTGAGTAAAAGTATTAATGAAGCTGAGGATTTAAGAATTCTAAACATTCTTAACTGAGACATGGTGAGATATTAGTATCTAACAACTCAGTTTGAACTAGCTCCATCCATGCCAGCCCAATTGCTTATTATTAACGATGGGTAAATATTGACTTATCTTCTCTCATAATGATTTAGTAATACATGTAATTACTGTATCAAAAGACATTGGAATTTGGAAGAGGTACTTTTTACCAGGATTCATAGATTCCCTGCATGGAGAACATTTAGGATCTACTGTAGCACAACCTAGAAAGCCTTCCCCAAACCCAACAGATGGATGAACTATAATTCCCAAAATTCCCAGAAATGGCCGTGCTGGCTGGGAAGTTCCAGAAGTTGAAGTCCACATCTGGAGGGCAGAGACAGGACCTAGATCCATTCCCAACATTTCTTTGCCTTTGGCAGTTGCTTGGAAAAGGGGCTTGTAAAATGTTTGAAACCCATCAGGTAAAAATATTGTGACAAATGGGAGGGATTCATGAATGCATTTTGAAACACGTCAGTTCCTGCTGACTGTGGGTTCTTTTTTAAACTATCTCTTTGGGGAGGGGAGAGTGTCTTAAAAATCTGGTCTGTAGTTCTGTAGTTTTTTAGTTTATGATATAATCACTTATTGTATCATATCTGGATTGGAGAAAAATGCCCTTCCACAGTCTTGTTGAGCTACACTCCAGTGCTTTTTCTGGGAGGTGTTGCAACAGTGCTGATGGCCATTTGGTTTCCATTACAGAATCATCTCAGATACAGTAGTTCTGGCTTTTCTGAAGTGAGAAAAGTCAGCTTGCTCTGTGGTTCATAATAGCCTCAGAATGTATCCTTTGCAATGCATCCTATAAGTTTTTGTCTAAGTCTTATAAAAGCAAAGCACTCTCTTTGTCATCTTGCCACTTCATGAAAATTGGCCCCTGCACATGGTTCCTATATACTCATACAACCACGTGCTTGCTTATAAGCTAATATGGTAATATTGACCATCGCTTAGTTTGACATGCAGCAGTTATAACTTCATTCAGCAGAATCAATACACTAGATCATTCTTCCTTTTTCACACCGCTAATGTGTGAAGGTGAGGTGCACCCTCTTATTCTTTAAATGGCAGTTAATTTTTCCTTTGAAACTAGCTACTTAGGAGAGCCTGTGCAGAGTGTTGAATGTCCTTGGATCTGCGCAGGATTCTGTCAACAGTGCTTGAGACTTCCTAGCAATTTTAGGCTGTTGCTTTACCCAGCAGCACTCCCACAGACAGTCTCCGTGGTGTGTACTTTGTTTATCTTGACCAAAACCACAGCGGCTCATATTAAGCGGAGAGTTATAAAGAGACAAACGAACACAGATAAAGGGCCAAGGTTAGATTACCTGCTCGTATCCCCGTTCCTACTTTTTAAATGTAGTTATTTCAACAACGTAGCTATCCTAATCTATGTTTAAATCTCCTTCCCAATCAACTCTGTGCAATTAATACCTTTTTAAAATCAGGTTTCTATAACATTGAACAGCCTCCCCCAGTGAAAATTAGGCTTAATAGATGTGTGGGGAGGGAGCGGCAGTCTGAATACATCCAGAGAGTGCCAGATTGAGCATCACTGGCGTGGGATAACAGTACTGCTTTAGAGGATGGGCACATAATCTGAAGGCCGCATCCTTAATCTCCTTAATCTCAGTAACTGTTGAAAGTATGTATCTGAATAGGGCACTTGCACTTAGAGATGAAGCAAGACTTTTTCCTGTTTCTTTCAGCTTGTAAGCATTTTATTTTCTTCATCCTCTCTGTGATGTGCAGCTCATTAACTTGTACATCTGGCAGGACTGGATCATGCTGGAAAGTTAATAAAACATGTGTGCAGTAATGGAATGAATTGAGTAATCTGTATCTGAAAGTTTCTGTTTCATTACTTGACTGAAGATGTCGTGGCTTCCTAAATGTTGCTGAACTAGAGCATCCTCCTCCATTGGCCAGTCCACCTGGGGCTGTTGGGAGTTATACCTCAGCAAAATGTGGAAGATTCCATGTTCACCATTCTTGTCTTGCTTGACAAATGTAGGCCGTACTGAAATCAGTCTCTGTTTCTAGTTAACACTGAATCAAATCTGATGGAAATCCCCAAGTAATGTCTTTCTATATTATTGTATGCAACTCGTGAATATAATTTCATTTTTAAGAAAAAGAAATGAATACTTGTTATTTAAGAGTAGCATTTCTGCTTCTTTAAGTGGAAATATTTTGCCATATATATTTATGGGCCGGTTCAACATATGATTTCCACTTTTCACTCCCCTTTACTTATAAATTATAAAAACTCTTTTTTTAGTAAGGTTGTTCTTACTTTTCTTGATAAGCAAGAAAAGGGCAACTTTGACTATAATGTACAATTTAATGCTGATTGAGGTGAAAAATCGGTGTCCTGACTAGACTATTCATTTATAGTAGAGAAAGTGATCCTTGTAGCCACCAAGAAAAAACGCAAGTCCTTATAACTGATCTGACTGGTATCTTGAATAAAAACAAGATCAAAGCCTTTCCTTTTGACATACTACCTTAAACATTTTGCGCAAACTGATTTCAGTACTTACACGTTACGCGAGAACTTACTTATGCTCTGAAGTAGAATAGGATAGATACAAGAATCTTAGAGTTCATATTGACACAACACCCTTAACCAGGTCAGTGTAAAAACGTTCAGCTACATTTACACAACATTCTAAAGGCGGAGGGGGGAGTAGCTCAATCTACTGTGTGAACTTGGCTGATTTGGTTAATTTACTAATCACCTTAAACATATTGCATGTATACAGCTAATGACTGCTGTTCTCAAAAGCTGATGAGAAGTTTCTTTGCTAATGTTCACATTATTAATACAAAGTTCCTATTGAGCAAGTCTGTTATATCAATTCTCAGATTATTTTTATGTAATTAACTTGACCTTCATGCTGGACTAGGAATCTGGCATTTTAAAGACCACTATTTGATTTAGAAAGCCATGACATTTCTTATGGAAATTGATACTGAAAGTCTGAATGGAGATGAAATGTACCGGTTGAGAAGTAGTTGTACTCCTTTTAAAAATTAGTTATATGTAATAACCAGTTTTTGACTTGAGAGCAAGAGAAACAGATGACTGCCCATTTAAATCCCATTAAAACAGCAAATCTGAATAGAACTCTGTGATCATCTGATAATAACACTACTTCATCTGGAGGGCACTAGATTGGGGAAAGCCAGGTTAGAATCATATAGTCACATAAAGATCTAGTTTGTCAGTTTTAGTGTTTAAGAAATAACGAGATTTAGTTTATTTATTTATTTTACTAAGAAATTCCAGTTAAATGGAAGTCCAGTTCTATTGACAGTAAGGGCTGTGTTTTTGTGAGACAATCTACTACAGAGATAAATTACTTTGCATTGTAAATACAACCATTACTATGAACTCTGATCATGCAAGCATTTAAGAAGCACTTGAAAACCAAAATTATTTGCACCCAGTATCTATTTTAAATTTGTACTTAATTGTGGGGATGTTCCTCAAGGCCAGTTTGGTTATTGTGTCATATTTATGTATGTCAAATGGTTGTTTCTCAGTCTAATTGGAAGTGGAAATGCAGTTCTGGTTTGACTTCACATTACTGCTCTGTAGCTTCTTGCTATCATTTTCTATGCTGTTATGTAGTCATAGGAGGAAAAAAAATTACCCCTAGGGAAAACCTCTCAGTGAGAACCCCCTTTTTTTCTCTCTCTCTTTTTTGAAACATGTCATAAATGGAGCAATAAATAAGATGTGGTATATATGTTAATCCCAACCCCCTATCCCTAAATGCAATAGCAGATTTAAAATGTGGCAGCTAAGACTGAATGTGACATGGATGGTTTTAGAAAATGGCCTGCTTATATTAAGTCTCCTATGTGTAGGAACACTGGTTTGCAACACCAACAACAAAATGAACCAGAAAGTGAATTTAGCACAAATTGTCCTTAAACAGTGCAGACATGTGTAAATACTTCCTGTATTAAACTGTGAACCAAAATTCTTCTCCATATTGATCATGTTGTTCCCACCCATAATTGTTCAAAAACCAGTGTCTCTGCACATATGTGCTTTGCAAATGAAAGTTGTATCTTTTTGAGATCTTTGTCCTGTGTCTGCCTTTTTGAACAATGACTACGTCTCACTGATCTGTGTGTTCCATCCCTTCTTTGTCCACTTGTAGATGTACTCCAGCAGAGTTGCTTTAAGTGACGAATGCATCGCACTACAGCCATTGTCCAGGGCAACGAGTCAGCTGAGCAAAATTAGGTAGAGTAGGAGGGGCAGTTCTCCATCCAATTTTATGCATGATGAAGGTCAGCTAACCAGCACTAAGAGAAGGGAAAAAGGCATGTGGACTCTAGTGTGAACTAAGAGGGCAGTCACAGCAGCACAAGTTGGTACCTTTCTGACTTCCCCTTAGCTTTGCTATCTATGTTTGCAGGCCAAATATAGCATGTGTTTCATTTCTTCCCTAATACTTCTTGGGGTGGAGGGGCAAGGGGAAGATTGCAAGCATGATGATCGAGTACAGAATCCCAGTCTACTCCCCTGTTCTGTTGTAAAAATAACATTTTTAAATAATCAAGCATGGTCTCAGCGCTTCTGCCTAACTCAACCATCCATGATGTTAACAGTGCATGTGGCATGCACTGTTGAATAGAAACAGCTGCAGCAAGAGTCTGTCCTTTGTAGATCATTGTGCCTTTTGCTAACTGGATTTTTTTCCTCTTATGTATTTGTGTAGCTTTATGGTTATGTCTTGCATCTAAGTGTATTGTGGATATTATTATGTTTGCTGTAACCAGAAAGTTGATGAAAAGGGATTGGACTGGGTGAGGACTTTAGCAGCTGAAACTTACAGTTGATTCATTGGGTCAGGAGGTAAAATTGCCCAGAGACAGGACTCAAGAGAGTTAAATATATTATACCAATATAAAGACCGTGTGAAAGATCTTGCTCTCTGTTTCCAGATTTACCGTTTATCAGTGTATAAACCAGACTTTCCCAATCAGGGAAACCTTCAGGTATGTGGTCTTCAAGTCGTAGAATTTTCATCAATGACCATGCTGGCTGAAAATTTTGGAAGTTAAAGTACATATAACTGGCAGGTGCCCAAGTTAGGGACAGATGGTACAAGCTAGTGCCTCTTTAAGATTTAAGGCTGACATTGAGCGTGGTCTAGTTCTGCTTAACAAGCCAAGATTTATCCAGGCCTTCTGTGTGTGTGCTGTGATCTTGTGTCACACCTTCTTTCCTTCCATCAGCTCCAAATAATGGTTTAACTATGGTGACTGCTTCAGAAATAACAAAACGGTGGTGATTCTATGCATCAAAAGAAGACTCGGTGAATAAGGAGCATACAGACATCCAAAATTAATGCATACCTCCGAATTTGGCCAATTTATTGATGGCAAGAGAAAAGCTTTAAGGGATATGCAGTGGGATTCACAGAGTCTGTGCAAATCAAAACTTTACTGTACATCAGTCTCTTTCCAACTGTCAATCCTCTTACCTGTCTAGTATGTTGAAGGCCAATACGAACTAATAAATATTGGCAGTGGCTTTGGTTATTGGAAATACAAAATGGGAGAACCAAATATATTAAGTGGTAGAGCTTAAGCATATGCCTTCTGACAGCATTTTGACATCCAAGGTACTTACATAGCCTCTTTGCTCCTGCACTAATTGAAAGCATTAAAAAAAAATCCCACAGTTTCTGATGTTTAGATGTATTAATCTAGTAGGAAAGTCCAGAATAAAAAAGATAGTACCAATAGTTACAGGCACCTTAGGTGCAATCCGAAAACATCTGGAGCACCACTTGAACACCATCGGCATTGACAAAATCATCATCAGTCAATTGCAAAAGGTAGCTTTATTTGGAACAGTTTACATCCTGCGACAATACCTTTAACACCATCAAAGAACAACATCTGCCTATATCAGGTCCTTGGGAAGGACTCAATAGGTGGATAAAAATGCCAAATGCAGTCTAAACAACTGGCTGCCTGTGCGACCAACCATCATCATCATCATCATCATCATCATCAT